AGAGAGCAAACACAGTGTGTTATCAGTGGAGATTAGGAGATTTAACAACTATATGAAACTGAAGTAATGATTATTTTCTTACAATAACATAACACAGAAAAGCCTTGAAACCGAGAGTAACTGTTGAGTATGCTGTGATTGTTTGAGTGAGGCAGTAAAATTAATATTTTAAGCTTCATACCTTTTGTTCTTGAATTTGCTTGTTAAGCAGTTCTTGCTTTTGTTTCTGAATTTCAAGCTTCTTTTTCATAGCTTCCTGTCATTTAAACAAAAAAGACAGAAACAGGATGGTATGTTAATTTATACTTAACCCTTACACTCTCATGAGTGACCAAGACATAATTTCTCCTTACAATATCTATACAATATCAACCAGATAAGTGATAAGAATAAAGAAAAATGTCAATTTGAGTATAATTAGTTGATCCAATACTAAATTCTCCAAACTAACATTATAAGAATTGTGTGATTAACAGTAAGGAGAATTGCAACTTTTATGCGGGAGTTAAAGAGTTAAGATCTGCAAAGCCAGGCATAAAATTTCTCTTCTTGTAACTGTGTACAAACTATCTGAGTGGCCTTGTTACTTGAAAAGCTCTGCAGACGGATGTTGTCCATTTGCTGTAGAAAGGAAGGTAACATGCCTCTAACCTGTTTTTGAAGCACCTGTTGCCTTTTGTTCAAAGCTGGACCAGAAGGTGTAAGAGCAGGAGGAGCCTTTGTAGTCTTTGAGAAAGTTGTCTTCCCACTTTGAAACATGGTGGGTTTTGCCTTAGGTTCAGTGGCAGGCTGTGAAAACATCAAGATAAAATATTATGACTACAGAATTACACAACTGCAATTCAAAAGTGTTTTCCACTGTCCTAACATTCCCATGTAATGTGTCATATGTCAAACAATCTTTAACAAATGCATATTGTAATTGCAGAAAAAAAATTGAATTATAATTATTACTGATGACTGCCTCTGTGAGAAAAAATGTGTTTTGTTGCCTTTGGCAGAGACCCTTAAGATTCCCAGAGATTCCTTAAGATTCCTATTATACCAGCCCTTCACCTTTCACTCCCTGAAGTGATTAATGTGTAACTTCTCCCTATAATATCTATACATTATCCAGCAAACAGGTGACAAGAATTCTTAAACTAATCAGGTAGAAGTTGTCATCTTGATTCAATGCCAAATTCTTGTAACTAATTTACAAGGAAATGTGAAGCAGGTAGAAGGGAGAATTGACAATCAAATCTTGGGAGTTAAAGAGTTAAGTGTCAATCAATAAAAATTTGTACCCTTCTCAGACAGTCAGGTTCAATTTTGACTGAGCCTTCTGAAATTCAAGTGATAATCTTTTGTCAAGTCAAACCTTAATAGAGTCCTCCTTTGCAGTTGGTTCCCCATCTGCAGATGCCGATCCAGAGTTACTGGATGGTGTGGCTTCTTTGCTTGAATTTCCATCCTGAAATTCACAATTCAGACATCACCCACAATCAACAATAAGTATTTCCCTGATTGAAAAACTTTGGAAGTACAATAATCTGAAAGATTAGAACATGTAGCCATGGTATACCTTATTATTCTGGTTCCTGTCAGGGTTGTGCCAAAACACCCTGATAAATCTGTTGCCAAGGACAGCATCGGGACAAGAATAAGCTGCTTTACATTCTTGGTGATGAGAAAACTGAACGAGTGCTGCTTCAGGATCTCCAAAGGCACAAACCTGTAAACACACAAGTTAGGAAAAAAAGAAATCCTAAGATTTTGAAGCATTTGATAACTTTTGTTCAGAATCTGTGAATTTTTGCCAAAAGCAACCATCCTCATTTGACACAATTAGCATTGCAAAGCCTTAAGTCTCAAGTAAGTTCCTGTCTGACGTGAAACTAAGAGTGTAAGGGTATTTAAGTTCACCTGAATGTTCCTGATGGTTCCAAATCGTTGAAAATGCTCATTCAACTTTGCAATGTTGTTCAATTCACGAGGAATCTTCTTCAATTCCAGAGTGTCACTAAACTTCCTGGGAAAGCCAAGTCGACTTTTGACTGGAGCAGTTTCATCTTTTTTGCCAGGAGCCTGAATCACACTTGGCTGTGGCACAGCAGATGGTTGCTTCAGAGCTGGTGGCTGGTGATCTTGAGATGGATTAGGGGCATTATCTGAGTGGATCACTATTCTGTCAGGTATGGTGGGCATCCTTGGTCCAGGGGCAGACATGTTGGAAACTATCAGAGAGAATAAACCACAAATTTTATCAAAAAGTAAGCCTCCTTCTTTAGATTCCTCATCTGAGCAGCTGCTTCAATTTTCAACTCATTACATGGCCAAGATGAAGGCAGAGTAGGTTTAAAACACAACATAACCTTCCTTTTCAGCAATGTCTGCTAATTAGAATCTAGAAATCCCAGTATGACCATGAAGAGTGACCAGCATCTAGCTTCTTCTCACAATATCACACTGAATCAAACATTAAGGTCATGAGAATAAAGCAAATGATCACCAACAGAAGAAACTCTAGATTGCTAAACAAATTCTCATTGTCAGTACCTTTGGAGATGTATACCAAACAGTATGGAGAATATGTAGACTGATGTTACTGTGTTAAGGGCTAATACATCAAAAGCTCTGTGAAATCTCCCTTCTCTATGAAGCCTTCTGTTAAGAGCTTCATATTTCTAATAAGCCCTCCTCCCTTCCTCCAAACAAAAATTTGAAAATAAAAATACAGGAGCATGATGATCATGCTATGAATATGCTGTGCAAATACCTTTGCAATGGGAAACATATTTAAGCCATGAGTAGGCCAGAACCTAAGGCATTTTAGTTCAAAATATACCTTTATCTGAAAGCCTGTTTTACTAGCAGTTTCTGCTTTAAATATTGCATTTTCTTGGTTTCAGATAATTTACATTTTTCAACCAAAGAAAAAAAAAAGTCCCCCACCCCTGCCTTCCCTAACTAATAACCCCGGATATTAATAAGTCTCCTTGGCTCTGACAATCAAAATGACCAAAGGCCAACTATAAAGTTCATAAATGGAAAAAGTTGCCATTATGAACTGAAAAAATTTTACCTTGAACAGTGAGCTGAGGTGGATTTGGAGTTACTGCTAAAAGCTCCCTTGACCTCATACCACCCATGTTAGGGTGAAACATTCCATGAGGGGGAATAGGGTGAGGAGGACGGCCATTGCCAAGTCTCATCCACACTGGTGTCCTGTCAAATTGAGGCTGTTCTGGATTGTAGGAATCTAGAGTTCAAAATTAAGAGAACAGTGAGGTAAATGCACATCTTAATATTTTCATTTAATTCAATGACTTAAGCTGATTACTTTTTGCCTAAAGCAACTTCCATCTGGATTCTGATGATCATTTGATAATTTTTACAACTGTTTCTGCTATATATTGCCACTATAATTGATCATCATTACTACTGTATTACAAAATTTGTTTTCCTCATTGTTATTATTATCATGATTAGGAAGATAAATTAGGAAGAAGCAAAGTTTGGTGTAAATATCAAATAATTTCATTACCATAATTAGTATGTTAGGGCCTACCTTCAAATGGATTACCAAATTGAGGACGGGGTGCCTGTGGCCTTAACATAGGGTTTGGCATCATGTGAACTGTTGGCATTGGTATTACTGGGGCTTGGCTGTGTGGAGGAACCATTCTATTTGGGGCTGTTGGTCTTGGACCACTCACAGGAACAGTGCTGTCAGGACCTTCCTGGCTTGCTTTGGATTTGGGAACATCATTTGGTAGAGGACCAGTGGTGCCGGGAGGAGGGGGTTGTGAGTTTGGGGCAGGATGTGGGGCTGGGTGTGGGGCAGGGTAGCTCCCTGGTATTGGACCAGCAGTGCCTGGTAATGTTGCAGGTGGGATGGGTTGGCCATCTGGAAAGCCTAAAATACCTGGGGGAAGGACATCTTGGACAACAACTGGATCATTTCCATGATCAAAAGGGCAGAGTTCCCCACGCATGCAAAATCCTTTTTCTATGAGGAAAAAAAAAAGGACCACACTTCAGATCCAAGGCAACCTCAAAACCCTTTCACAGTTTCACTCCTAAGATCTCGAAAGTAATTCCTTCAATTTACTCTCTGCCAAACATTTCTTATAATGTTAGTTATGAATATTTGGTTTCAAATCAAATCACACCCCCTATTTCATATATTTGTTTATTATGTCATACTCTCCCAACAGTTTGCTAGTACATTGTACCTGTTTCTACTCAAGGGGGAAAAAGATACCATAAGAGTTAACCCTTCACTCCCTAATATCAGTATCCATGTTCTGCACACTATTCACTATACATTTCCCAAGGTGCTGACAAGGAGAATTTGTTTAATAATCAAGAGCTGCCTTAGTTGGCGATCATTTCATCTATTCTCATGACCTCAATGTTTGATTCAAGGGTGATATTGTAAGGAGAAATTAGATGCTAGTCACCCTTGGGGTCAAAGGGCCTTGCTCAGGTACACAACACAATGACCTGGCAAGGTCTTGACCAAGAGTCAAGTGCATTAACCTTTATACCTTAGCATTCCCACAATGTAAAAGAGGACAGCCACAAATTTTTTCCAGGAAAAAAAAAAAAAAATGAATTCATACCATCATAATCTCTACAACGAGACTTTCTGGAACCACTTCTCTCTCTTTCTTCTCGTCCATGTCTCAAGCGGTCATCTCTAAATCTGTTATCTCTGTATCGTCCTCTCCCCATCCTACCACCTCTTCGATCCCAAGAGGGACTGCCACGCCTTCCTCTTGATTCATCATGAGAGTTCATAAAGCCAGATTGCATTAACCCATCCTGGCCATCCAAATGCTTGTTACTTCGTTCACGATGCATGGCACTCGGAATAGGATAAGTTGCATTGTCATAATGTGCACCATCAGATTTACTTCTGGAGCCCTGATCATCATGAGATTCAGAATCTCCATGTCGTATTCCACCAGATTCCTCTTTTGCAAACTTTGAGTAGTCACCCCTGAATCTGCTTTCATCATCACCCCTTCGCTTACGAGATCTGTCACCACTGCTGGACACCACAGAGCTGGTAATTTTGTCACTAGAATCTGTGGTTCTCCTTGTTCTCTTAAAATCTCTGTCATCATCATCTAATACTGAAGGCTGGAATTGAAGAGATGACTTCTGATGAACTACTACTGACATTTTCCTCTCAAGATTGTACTTTATTCCATTTTGATACCCAAGGAGATTGTGCATGTGATTGGGCATCAAAAGTCCTTCAGGCCTTATTCTACCCATCCCAAAATCAAGTGTTGATACCAAATACATGAAAAAACTAACACCAAATTTAATTACAGAAGTATAAACTGAAAAATAAGGTATTTTACTCAGTCAAATCTAGACTTGAAATGAAGATTTTGTCAATCACCCTTAACAAACTTTCTTAACCCTTGCACTCCCAAGATTTATCAGTAATTCTCACTCCCTACTATCTGCCATTAATATTGTTTTTATTCTCATCACTTGTCTGTTAGATATTGTATTGAAATTGTAATGAGAAATTCTGTCTTGGTCACTCCTGGGAATGAAAGGGTTAAGTCAGCTATTAAAATATTCAATAGCTTATACACAAATCCATTAGCAATTACATTCACAATGTTGATCACAATTTTGACCCTTAAACTCCCAGAAGTGATTAACATGTAACTTCTCCTTATAATAAACATCTATACATTATCCAGTAACCTAGTAATAAGAATACTCAAACTTATCAGGTAGAAGTTGTTATCTTGAACACCAAATTCTTGTATCTAATTCACAAGGAAATGTGTAGCAGCTAGAGGGGAGAATTAACAATCAGATCTTGGGAGTTAAAGGGTTGAGCACGAAGGTCACATGAGACATTTAATTACCTCTGTTAGAACTCGTGAGTCCTCTGATATTGATGACTTCCTAGGTTTTTCCTGTGGTGTAGTTGAGTTAGGGGCTGACTGTGAAGGAACAGCTTTTGGCAGAGGAGCAGAGCTAGCAATTGGTGCAGGATTTGGTTCAGCAAGTGGTTGAGGAATGTAAGAGGAAGTGGCAAGAGCTTCAAACAGCGTGTTCACAAAAGTACCAGTTTCTGAAAAAAAGAAGTGGTCTCATTTGACAGGTACTGTAAAAAATGTATAAAATTATCTATTCGAATTGTTAGGAGTATCAACCTTTTCCATATCAAGTTGTGAGAATCTTACCTCCAGACAGGAAAACTTCTAACTGGTCCACACAAATGTCTTTGAGTTCTTCTGTAGGCTTGTCTTTTTTCACTAAAGCAACAACATACTTGGCCAGAGCCGCTGGATCAGCATCACAACTGAAACATTTATAAAGAGAGAAATTGTAATAAACCAAAGGTTATGTCATAAAACCAAATAAATTTCTGCCAACTGGTACAAATTAAGGTTGTATTTATATCACTTAATCCTTTAACTCCCATGAGTGACCAAGACAGAATTTCTCCTTATTATATCAATACAATATCATCTAGATTAGTGATGAGAATAGAGAAAAATATAAATTTGGTGATAATTAGTTGATCCAATACAAAATTCTCTGAACTAACATTATAAGAACTGTATGGTTGACAGTAAGGAGAATTACAAATTTGATCTGGGGGTTAAAGGGTTAACAGCATGCTGATTCATCCTAAGAAACCACAGAGGAATGCTTTTGTCCCATTTTCAATATTAAGTCAAATTTTCAATTTATTAGATGTCCCATAAGACTACTAAGATAATGGCATAAAAAATTAGGAAAGATTTCTGTATAACCACATACTATGCTAAAACAAAGCCATAGTACATTAGACAATCTGCTGTTTTGGCCACTGCTTTCCTTATCCAAGAACTGCATGCAGAATTAGTAGGAGCTGTATGGAAATCTTACCAAAAGTCAATCTTAAGATCAGGTTAAAGCAGAAAAAAAATATGTTTTTGATCTTCTAATCATTAGTAATCTTTCATTTTTGAACAAGGTAAGGCTTTCTGAATTACACAATAACTTACCATTAACCCTTTAGTAAAAACCCACTTGTCAGTATGCATAATCTCCATACTGAAAAAAAACTGTTTATATACATTTCCAAGGGTGCCGAGAAGGAGAAAATGTTTAACAATCAATAACTTCTCTGGTTGGTAATCATCTTTAGTCTTGTGAACAAAATGTGTGTTTCAGGGGTGGTATTGTAGGGAGAAATTGGATGCTAATCACGCTTAGAGGTCAGAGAATTTACAAAACTAATTAAGTTATTGATGACAACAGAAAGAAACCTTATGTCTAATCTCTAATAAACGTCAAAAGATTGCCTAATAATGTTAGCAATACTTCATAGAAATTGAACATCAGCGAGACAAATCAACTCTGAAATGACTTAATAACCAGGTTCCCATCGAAGGCATCTATCGTACAGTTTTATCAATTTTGAGCGATCATGCACGAGTCGTTAATGTTAGTATTTAGTATGTCTACGAAATACAGTTCGGCTTTCCTCTGAATATATACTTACACTGACTCCAAACGAGTTGTAAGCCAAGATTTTAAGGCTTCCACGCTTTTGATTTGCATCGTGGATCCAGGTGTACTTCAAAATTAAACTATTCTTTCGACAACAACCCAAAGCAAACTTCTACTTCAGTCAACCTTACTTCGAAAGTTATGACGGTGTTTTGACGATCGACGCACAATTTATGTGTTCCATGATATCGCTTATCTATTTAAGTATCAAATTTGTAAATCAACTGGTTCCAAAATACATAAACAAAGGCAATGGTTCTCGAATAAAGACACATTCTACTACAGGGACTTGGCAGTGAAAGTCGCCATGTTTCTGCCCACGAGGATTGGAGAGAGAAAGTTGTGAGAGACTGGTGACAAGGTACAATTTCTTACCATCCCATAGTGCAGTTCGAGGTGTTAATCAATAGCCTCTCTCAAGTGCCGCCAAAAATCATCTTCCTGGCTTTTCAGCTATTCGAATTGGAAGTAATTTTTCTCTCTTCCACTGAAAACATGCCTTATTACGACGAAGGAGAGTCGACCAGCAGCGTAAGTACAATACCAGAAGAGATAAAATTTACTGAATGGCTCATTTTAGGGGCAAATTTACCGGAATTGAACTTAGAGTCAGCTGATTCCACGAGTAAATGTTCTCAAGTCACGGAAATTCTTTCGCGCATGCAAACTAGGCCATGAGCATTTCAACTGAATGTTTTCCTGGGCACTTCTATTGATTTAAGTCTTTCAATTTTTTCAGTCCTAACCCCGTAAAAAATGGTTAATTTTGATTGAGACTATAATCCACAAGAAGCTGGACAAAGCTTTGACAGGCTAAGAAGCTAAGAAACTCTTTGTTTATATCAAAAGTGAAACAGTTAACTTCCGTACGCGCACTTTTGCCTTTTATAACTTTAGTAATAGAAAATTCGGTCGTGTTAAAATCGTAACCGCAAACCGGGGAATTTATGGTTAGTGGTTGTGAATGGATTCCTGCATTTGGCTATTGAATTTGAGCTAAGACTATGGTAATTGTGAGAAAAAGCTCCCCCCACCGACAGACCACCGACAAGTAAGTAAAGGGTTAGCGACAGGTGGTAAAATAAGGAAAATCAAGAATGGAACTTTTGGGGATTTGGCAAACCATTTTGTCTCTCGGCAAGCTTAAATGGAGTCATTAGACACCATATTTACATTTTACAAAACTGACTAAAACATACATGGGCCTTTTGAAGAATATTACTACCGTGGAAATGACTTGGGAAACTTTACCAGAATTCTGCCTGAGGGTCCTCAAAAGATGGCAAATGGCGTATGGAAAGTATAAAGTATGTTAGCAGACCAATGTCTTTTCCTTTTATCTCAGATTCCCCAATCATTCATTCTTGTGGGCTACCAGCATTCTCCAGAAGCACCAGGATTGGTACTCATCCCAAAAGAGCTGGCCGCTTTATTTAGGCAAAGTAGTTAAACATCTGTCATGATCTGAATTAGATATTAACCTTTGCCAGCATTTATTTTTTCTGCCTGGTTTTTGAAAATCTCTGGAGAACACTGAGTTATGTGGAGACCAAATAGTTAGCACATTGGACTCCAGGCTGAGCACAGTATGAGTATGACAATGATGATCATGATAACAAATTTATTACTCCGGCCCAGGCCCTATGGGCCTGGGCCAGGAGTTATAAATTCGGCTCGATTTGTAGTTTTCGACACAAATCTGCATTCTTGCGCAATATTGTGACGTAATCCCAGTGCGCTTTGCAGGCGAGCTTTTCCATTTGACAGGCTCGTGTTTCTGTATCGTGCTCAAGCTCACGTTTGTTCAATTCGTTCAATTCGCTCAAGCTCACGTTTGTTCAATAAAAGGCACTGGATGTAGCTGTTCATTCCTGGCTAAAGGTAAGCTGTCTTGTGTATTCTTTGTTATTTTGAGTTGTGCTGTAGCTTTTTTCCAAACACTGCAACATTCTCTCACCGTCGAAAACAAATAAAGGTTGAATGCCAATGAATGCCTTGATACCTTGAATGCTAAACTTACGAAAGTACACTGAATGCCTGAACAAGAATCGGGATTAAGCTTAAACTAAAATGCACTACTTAGAACCTGAATGCCAGAATTCCTATGTAAACAACTTAGAAGTGAATAATGGCCGTAATTGTTGTTGCCCAGAGTCTACATTTACATCTGTACCTTGACTGTCGTCTTGTTATTCCAATAACCAAAATGATTTACTACCATAAACGGACTGTCACTAGATTATGACATTTAATAACAACCATTCCTCAATCACAACATTTTATTTTATTTCAGGTCATACAGCATCTCTTCAAATGGCAGGAGCCAAAACCCAAGCCAACAGAACAAGACATAGTAAATCTACTAAGCACTAAGTTCACACTGAGAGTGGATCTCGACCGAAAAATATTGGAACACGCTGCACCAGCAGACACCGACACTCACCCTGAGCCAGAAGAAGAAGAATCAAACTCCAAAAAAGTTAAAACAGCTTAAGTAACTTGATTTAGAACAGTGGTCTTGATTTTATTCTCTTAACACAGACACAAGATCATCTAATAACATGTTTGAATATCAAAGTACTTGGTTAATGTAAAGTATTTCGTTAATGCCTTACCAAATTGTTATCACATTTTATTTGTTGTTTTACGAGAGATTCATACATTTATAAAATGAAAAAAAAGTCCGTTGAAATAGCAATTCCAGCCTTCTGAGAGAAATTTCCAGTCAAAACACCATCATCACCCACCCCCAACTGGGGCTCAACGAAGGGATGCCCCATCCCTTTGCGAAGGTTCAAAACTTGCTGATACACCCCCCTTTTCCTCCACCGCACCCCCAATACTTTTTTACAAGTCCCTAAAGACCCAACAGGAAAAAAAACCCTCAAATTCCAACACAAATCTGATAATACTCCAACAGCTCATTGTTTATTGTCATATATACACACATTGTTTAAGAATCAATCCCCCCCCCACCCAAACATCCACCCCTAAAATGGCCGAAGTGAACGCTCAACAGGCGTCTTGTTTCATGAAAGTTTCAGTCTTGTAAACTTTGAAATAGAGCAGAAATGAATTGAGTTTGCACAATTTCACTGTAGTGCAGTAGATCACAGCAACCAAACTGCACAAGAACCAATCAAATCTTGGAAACAGTAGCCTTATCCTAGAACTGTACATCACTTAATATCCACTGATCAAAAATCTGTTGAACTCCAGAAGAGTCCAAGCTGTCCCAATGCATTACAAGCAATCAATGAATTAATATTAAGTAATGAATTTCCAGAAAACTGCTGTCATTAAGCTTTTTAGTCGAGGAGCAGTTGATGTTAAAAAAATGGATTGAAAATATTTAAGTCTCTCTCAAACTCATCATAGACTACCTTCAAACTTCAAGTTAGAACAGCTGACATGAATGAAACTGAACAAAAAATTTATGGGGTGGAGACTAAAATTCATTTCTTTGTTATCCACTGAATGTTTTATTGAAATAGGGGCCTTCCACTTGCTGTGGAAATTTTTTTTTAGAATAACGTTGTGAAATTAGAAGTTAATTGTCTTCCATTTATGCAATACATCTTTACTTATCTTAGTACACACCAATCAACTTCTATGATTATTAATAACAGTCACAGGCCTGTTTGACTTGACCTGTGGATCAGATAAAGCTGCATTTCAGTCACCATTTATGGAGCTAGGACAAAGCCCTGAAGGATGTTCCTCGTTTATGTTCCCTAGGATAATGGGACCTGCAAAGGTACATTGACTTGCCTCTAATTTCTGTTGAAACCTTTTTATAACATGAGTTAAAGAGCATATTTCAAGTTATTGTCATAATTTGTGAAATTACAACACAAATTCTTAATCTTCTTTAGTCCAATGAAATGTTGCTTGCTGGATGCAAACTGACAGCAGTTGAAGCAAGAGACTGTGGATTGGTTACAGATGTTTTCTCCCATGACAAGTTCACAGAAGAAGTTCAGAACAGAATACAAGCAAAGGCCAAGCTACCCCCCAGGTAGAAAATTGAATTGTAGAGTTTTACAGCAGGGCACCCTCTACAATGGAGTCGCTATAACATTTGGAGACAGGCTTGTCAAAGGAGGAGGAGTTGGGGAAGGGGTCTATTTGTAATGTCTTAGGGATATTCTCAGCCATATGGCTTCTGTCAATAAATTGCTGAAAGAAGCCCAAGAGTAAAACTTCTGTTTTCTTTCATATATTCCTTTCAGCCTGAAAAGAATAAAAGGTATCCTGCCTTACTCAAGTTTTATTGCAACATATAATCGTAGTGATGAATACAGGAGTGGGGTTTCCCATATTTTATTTATCAATTCTAATTTTTATCATGATCATTTATATTTAACTGTAGACAATAGGGGTTTTGAGTGAAGTGTTATTTTAGACGACCAATAAATGTTTTGTACTATCATTCAATAAGTGTTCCTTTTTTTTATTTTGTTCACTTAACAGTCTTTGTTGTTGTCCAAGCAGTTAATATGTGATTCATTCCATGATTTGTTACATGGTGCCAACAAAAAGGAGTGTGCTTTACTTGAAGAACACTGGCTTTCATGAGAGTGTATGCAGGTGATTATGGCTTTCATGCAGAGAAAGTCCAAATTGTAGCCCAGCTTTCATTTCCTTGCCACATTGTAATTAGGGCTTTATCAAACTCAACCACAATGAGCTGCAAAGGTTAAAGTTTTGGTGTTACTTTCAATCACCCAATCAAGTAGTCTTACTTGCAGCTGATTTTTTCTTGAGGAAGGGAATGGGGGGATGTCACTGAAGCAAAACGGCTGTGAAGGAGATCACTCAAGTGGCCGCAAAACCATCAAACTGTCACGTGATAGAAGGGTGGGATGTTCGTCACATTGGCTGATCAATGTTAAGAATTTTTTAAATGTTAAATTCACTCTTTGCCAATTATTCAATTGTTAATTGGTCTATAGTTATTAATCTTATTTTACTGGTAGTATGTTTAGTCAAAAAAAGTAATTAAATGCATTTGTTGAAACTGAAAATTGTCAGCATTCTAGTATCACTTACTTACTTCAGGAAGTTTAACTGTATTTATTCCGACACGTAAAGACTGCTCAAGTGTGTTGCAGCGACGGTAGGCATCTTGGTATAAAAAACGAGAGTGACTGAGGCATTAACATCGGAAAATCCAGAGGCAAAAAGAAGCAAAGTGTTGTGGTTAGAAAAGGATTGAATGCAAGCTATGAAAAACTTAAATGACACATTTTACAAAAATACCTTAAACAAAGTGAGCTCAAACTAACTAGGACAACACTCAAAAAGAAACTATAACATTTTCATTGGTTGGGTAAAAAATTTGACCACAGAAGGAAATAATTGCTTCAGTTGTATAGAATTGACTCATATTTCAGGTAATGCTCAAACTTTTATGGGGTAAAACAAAATTCAAGAAGGTTGTTACATTACTGATTGGCAAACCGTAAAAATAGAGTTGATTCCTCATTTGAACATGAAGGGGGGGTGGGGGGTGGTGTGGGTGGAGGATTTTGGAAGGATCACTTGGTTTTCAGGGTGAGGGTAGATCTTAGGTGTGACCTCTTCGTAAATATTTTTTGGATGTATGACCTCTTCGTGATAAGTTGAGCAACAGTAGGACAGTATTTTCACGACGTAGTCGAGAATAATTTCATTTGCATTAGTTTTGCTTCACTAAGCCGCTTTGGTATTAGTTAAAAAAACTCACACCACCCTCAAAATTAATAAGATGCAAAACCTCAACCAATCGTGACTTGAATCAGCCAAGGGTTACAATTTCCTCCCCTAACAATTACCACGCAGATGAAATATCCACACCTAGCAACTCGGTATTTAGTCCTCAACCTTCAAAATAAGCTACATCGGCACAAAGAGTTTTTCATCAGGGACTCAGCAGCGACTTTAATAAAAAAGGAGAAGACAAAGCGACTGAAAATGAGCACGGGGAAGGTGGTGGGAGAAAGCGAGGTCCCGTATATTGCCACATATGCAGATATCTGTAACCGTCTCAGCTTCTGACAAGTGTTTCTTATGTAGAACTAGACCCTGTGAGCAGGGTAACTGGGATACCTGGATGGTACTGGATCCTTGGAATCAAGTGTAGTGATACTACGGGTGTCGGACTAGGAAACTGAAATAGTGTGCTCAAGTCTGGCCAAGGGCATACACCTATTTCAAAACATAGGCATGCTATGTGTGCAAGAGTTCCTTTTTTGTAGGGTGGGTGGATTACTTGAAACATTGTGAGTGATGTCTACATTCTTACAAAAGGAGAGAAGAATATTAATGTGGGAAAGAACGAAAATGTCGAATTACCTCACTCACAGGTATTTTGTGGTAGATTATATGTGTTTTGCGAATAAATGTAACCAAAAATAAACTGTATTGGTGCCACGGATACCTGTTAGTACAAAATGCAGACAGCAGACTGCAGACCGGATACAAAATATAGACTGCAGACTGCAGAGTGGGTACAAAATGCAGACTAAGAATCTGTAGAGTTTTTACGTCTGGTATATAATAACATGTCATCTTACAGCTTACCGAGCGTCACGCAATCGCTTTTCTGCAATCCGCCTTCACGATTATTTGCACTATTGTGGAATACTCCTGGCCCATTTCTTGATGAAAATCGATCGCAATATTATTTCAAGCCTTCAATATAGTCTTTTTACTTTGCGCGCGAGTTGGTTGATGTGATGTCTGTACAGATTTTATCAACGTAATAAAAGTAGATGATGTGAACAACAGTGATGGTAAAGCAAGCTTAAAACGGCAGAAATCGCCAGAAAATACAACGGATACACAGGGTATGAGTAAGTTTTATAGATTTTAAGAGAAAAATGTTCATATTTCGAAATATGTATCGTTGTAAATCGACCATACTTCGTTCCCTGTACTATTCCCTATAACGTGCAGTTCCTCTCGTAACTTAACACCGAGTCACACAACGCGTGACGCGTTCATGAATTGATCGTTGGCTTTTTCTCGAGACGTGAGCTTGGGCCGCTTGTGACAAGACAATTGCGTAAACAATATTTAACATAACAACATTATACACAAAAAAACACAGGGTTTTGGATCACGTATTTATTAAAAAAGGAATATCCATACAACTACAATGAAAACAAACATAAGATTCACCTTTCTGATCGTGAAATTAATACCATTCGTACTGTTATCGTAGCTACGTTCCTTGCCATCAAGTGAATCCAACATGTCGTCTTTCTTCACAAGCAGTTTGCATCCCATATAGTTATGTTCTTCAGTCTCACGGTAGTAGTGTTGTTCAATAGATTGCATAGAGTATATGCAGTTTGGTTTCAGATTTCAGATTTTGCTTTTTACAACAAGTGAACGTTTTTCAACTAAGACATTGGCATACTTAGCATACAAGGCATTCAAGGCTTTCAAGCGTTCGCGACTCAATCCGTTCCAAAATTACCGCTCAATAACATCTTTCAGTGTGGATTAGCCGCGATTAATACGACTTGTATATGCGTCTGTAAGTATTTTGCGCGTTTGCGCTATAATGCTCCAGGAGATCGCAATCCAAATACGTTGAAATACAAAATAACTGACCAAAGAGTTTTATAAGCAAAATCTCGTGTTCGTCATGTGACCCGGCCCTGTCTGTGTATGACAACGTCAATCATCATCAAGATAACACGCGTGATCAGCATGTGAACACCTCATTGGATCACAGTTAGTTGTCATGGTGTTGAGGGATAACGCGCGTGATCAGTATGTGAACACCTCATTGGATCACAGTTAGTTGTCATGGTGTTGAGGGCCCAATGACCTCTGGGTACTATTGCGCAATTTTTCCATTTTGTGGCGGAGGAAATAGACCAAGGCCGCATTGGCTGTTTATTCAAGCTCTAGAACTGATCAGCGTTCTGGGGAAGTGAGTAAAGATACCAACCGTATCAATGGAAAAGATTTTAGAATATTTGGAGCCAAAAACTTTCCACAGAGTTCATTATGTGGCAGTGTGTTTTTGGATCCTGATCAGTGTTATCTTCTTCGCCGTATTCCTCGACATGGAAATCAACGAGTCTAGGTTGGATTTCCGCTGTGACGGAGCGAAGAGTAAAACCGTCGACATCGTCCGTGAAAAATGTTACGAGAAATATATGAAGCAGTACAACAAATTCGGTTTTCCGGTCTATGGCTTCGTAATCCTCAATTTACTCCTTATCGCACTTGTATGTGCTATTTACTCCCAAATAGTAAGACCCAAAGTCGATCATCTCCTCGACCAAGATACTGCGTCATCAACTGGAAACAAGCTTTTTATCGCTTACTGCTCTCAACTATCGATAAGAATTGTTTTAGGAGTTATTTTCATCATCCTACAAACTCAGTTGCTCTACCCTTTAAATTTTTCCTCTCAGTTTAACTGTTATTTAACCGATGGAACCACTCAGCCAAGCAATTCATCTGACAACGCCCAAAACTCTACTTTACTCGACTGTCACAATCAACGAGCTGTAGAGAAAACCTTCTGGATGTACGCTGTCCTTGCGGTGAATGGAATTATTGTTGCTTGGATTCTGGTTGAAACCGTCTACCTTTTTTCACGGGCATGCATTGAGAGGAGTTTCATGGGAGACTCAAAGTTTCTAAAAACCCATCTAAGTCTCAAACAACACCTGGATGGCACTGAAGAACTCCGAGAACGAAAGTTTCAAGAATTCATCGAACGCACAAAGGAAATAATTGTTCAAGAGACCGAAGGACTTTTAGAACTCCAATCACCTTTTGTAGGTAATCCAGGCGACCACTCAACAGCTAAAAATTTGACTCTCGATCAGATTTACACCAACCTGGTGGTAATTCAGAACAGAGAAACGCATGACTTTACTGAAAACCGAGAGGAGCAACTCAAAGTTTATCCAAGGTCGCGCAACGAAAACTCACAACCGAAAAGCATGCAAGACCTTCTGGATGTTGAAAGTAAGAAAGTTTTAATCGTCGGTCGACCCGGAATCGGAAAGACACTATGTTGTATCAAACTTCTCAGAGACTGGGCATTGAATAAAGATTTCAAAGCGACATCAGGTGCCCAAGTCCATTTTAATGCTGCTTTCTTCGTAAAATTCAGAAGATTCGACTCGACCAAAAACCTTAGCCTCAAGGAACTGTTGATAAGGTCCGAGTATTTCCCTACACATGACATGGATAACAAGGTCTGGAATCACCTTCAAAAGAACCCTGAAGGTGTTCTCATGCTTTTTGACGGATTCGACGAATTCGAACATGACGAAAAGAAAACCAAGGCATCTACTTATCCCAAAGGCATTGAAGATGAAAAGCCGCTCCAAATTCTTTATCAATGGCTTGTGACCGGGAAACTTCTTCAAGATGCTTCAATTGTAACGACTACGAGACCTACAGCTTTGTCAGGCATCGCACATCTGAAGTTCGACAAAAGCTTTGAAATCCTTGGCTTCTCAACCGAGCAAATTAAAGAGTATATCGACAAATTCGCCGGAGATGACAAGCAAGCAGGCGAAACGCTATGGCGACACATCAGCAGCAACATGAACTTACTTTCGCTCTGTTATGTCCCTGTGAACAGCTTCATCATGTGCTCAAGTCTGTCAGAAATAATGCGGTTCCAATGTTCCGATAGTGTTACCCTGCCGTCCAAATTAACCACGATATACAAGATTGCGGTTAAAGTGTTTTATTTCAAACACACGAAAGAATTCCGCGATAAACATTTCACCCGCGAAAACTATCTGTCAGATAATTTGCCTTTGGCGGTGGAGGAGAAATTCAAGAAACTAGGAAGAGTGGCGTTTGAAGGAATCCAAGAAGGAAAACTGATCCTTGGAGGAATCGAAGTAAAAGGATTGGAAGGCAGCGCTCTTTTTCACCGCTTACCCGACCGTCGTGCCGCGTTAAAAGATGAGAAGCAATTCTGTTTCATTCACCTAACAATGCAAGAGTT